GGAAGGAAGACTGCACAGTCTACCTCCACAGAGATACTGCCTCAGAAACCGAAGGAGGGGTCGCTATGAGTTGAATCGACTCAGCGGCAGTGAGTTTGGTTTTGGGGGCATTGTGGTTAAAGCAGTAGACTGCTAACTAAAAGGCTGGCAGTTCAAACCCACCAAAGGCTCCACAGGAGAAAGATGAGGCAGTTGGTAAGGATTTATGTACAGCTTTGGAAACCCTACAGGGCAGTTCCCGTCTGTCCTCCAGGGGCTCTGTAAATGGGAATTGACTTGGTAGCAGCAGTTATTAGCGTCATGTGTTTGTTGGCCTGAATACCCTCCTTGGTGAAGTGTCTATTCATGTCTTCTCCCCACTTGTTAATTGGATTGTTTGTCTTTTTGTTGTTGAAGTGTTGGAGTTTTCTATAAATTTTAGAGGTAAGTCCCTTGTCAGATATTGCTGAATATTTTTTCCCAATCTGTAGTTCTCTTTTGACTCTTTGGGAGAAGTCTTTGGAAACACATAAAAAGTTAATTTTTAGAAGGTCCCAATCATCTAGTTTATCTCCTGCTGTTTTTGCATTTTGGGTTATGCATTACAGTCTATTTATGCCATAAATTAGTGACCTCACTATATTTATTTATCTGCCAGTCTTAGAATCCCTGGCATCAGCCTCAGACTCGGTAACCTACACCATGACAAAAAGTAATGTATGAACAGATTACGTGTTTGCTTTCAGTTTTTTTCCACTTTAACCTGAGGAAATGTAGTTAAAACGCTAGTTCTTCGTTTTCCGTGTCAGTGTGACTCTAGTTGGTCACTTATTTCTGCTTGTCCTCCATCTTAGGATCCCTCCCCCAAACGATTTTATTCTTTTTAGTTTGTAAGATGTAATCTGCTCTGAAAAGATGGCACCATTCAAAGGGGCCACCCTCCTTCCTTCGTGATTCCTTTCACCCACCCCCGAGGAAAACAAACCTTATCAGTCCCGGTGATAAAAACCTGTCCTGAGTGTCCCTTTCCGAACAGAAGCAGAAGCATTTGTGTTTTCATTCCCCCTCGTCCTCTCTTTTCACTAACAGTCAACGTGAGCACCGTTTCTGTGGAGTCCCTGCCTGGAGAGCTTCCTGCCCCCGACGTCCCAGCTAACAGCTGGCTGGCTTCCCATCCTGGACTCAGCCTTTCCAGCCAGAGTCCTGCCCCAGCCGGTGGGACAGGGTGGGCTAACCAAGAAGGGGAGATTGGGTTCTGGGTACAGTTCTGGGCTGGAGCTGGCAGGATTCACCGTCACTGTGGATGTCAGCCTGGAGTAGGGTATGGAAACGCTGGGTCGATGACAGTGAAGGCTAGGCCCCTAGACTGCCTGGGAAGTGCCCCAGTGCTAGAGTCTGGGCAAGGGAGGTACAGGCCCACGCGGGCATCAGCAATGGGGACAGGTGGACTAACCGAAGAGGCAGAGGGCTCAGCCCAGGGTGACACTAGCTGTGGCTTCACCTCACCTCATCTCTCCACAGCACGCCCAGCTGGCCTCCCTTCCCCCCATCAAGGACTCAGACACACTCATTGGGCCCCTGGATCTGAGGACCCACAGGAGGAAGGCATCAGAATGTTTTAGGAGCCAAGTGAATGTCCTAGGAATGACAGTGGAGGGTCTGGAGGAACTTGGGAGTGCCTGCTACAAGCACCCAGTGACATCCACCCAACGCGTGGTCTAGGAAGGCAGGGAGACTTGGGCAGGTGGGAGCCAGCTTGCTCGTGGGGCCTGAGGGCCTGGCATTCCATGGCCCACAGGCCTGGGTCATGGTGGCCCTGGAGTGGCCCCAGACCTTTGGTTCAAACCCTGCTTCCTAGTGCACTTTGGGGGCCAGTGGGAACAGGCCATTACTCAGGCTGCCCAGCCAACTAGGGTCCCCGCTGGGGGTGAGTCTTATGGCAGGAAGGAGGGGGCAGCCAGACACCCAGGGGCGAGGGTAGAGGGGCTCGAGGGACCCCAGACGTGGCCTCATTAGCTTCTGTCCCAACAGCAGGTCTAAAGGAGGCAGCGTCACCATGGCTTCGATGCCCACAGCCCCAAATAGAAGGCAGATCAAGGTTACAGTCAAGTGACTCATTCTGGCCATTTTCCTTTCTTCTGTGTACATGCATGTCATCTCACTGTGTGTGCAGCTTCATATCACTGTGCATGTATGTTGTCTCGCTGTGTGCACACGTGTCATCTCTGTGCACGTGTCATCTCGCTGTGTGTGCACATGTCATCGGTGTGTGCATGTGTCACCTGTGTGTGCACATGTGTTGTCTCACTGTGTGCACATGTGTCATCTGTGTGTATGTGTATCATCTCATTGTATGTGCGTGTGTCACCTGTGTGTGCATGTGTTGTTCCGCTGTGTGTGCACACGTGTCATCTCACTATGTACATGCTTGTCACCTATGTACATGAGCACTATCTGTGTGTGCACACATGCCATGTCATTGTGCAAACACGTGTCATCTCTCGTGTACACACATCACCTCACTGTGTTTACACGTCATCTCACTCAGGATTTAGCAACAATTGTGAGGCCAGTGCAGGGCCAGGCAGTGCTCTGTTCTGTTGTATGTGGGGTCACTACAAGGTGGAGCTGACAAAACAGTACCTAACGACAACACAGCCTTTGGAAGCCACGGACATTGGTGCATCTCTCATCTGTCACCAATGCTGTCATTCAACTATGTGGCACAGTGCCATGGGGAGGAATGCCAGTGTCACTGCCGCTGCCATGCGTGGGAGAGGGACCCCGGCCCGCACGAGAGGGCAGCTGGGGTCCTTGGTCCTGGGCTGCGACTTTGCAGAGGAGGGGCCCTGGCACGAGGACCCAGAAGGCAGGCAGAGGACACTATGCACAGGAGCTGCTGGGGAGCTCGTCCTTGCCCAGAGCCTCTGGGGGCCACGGTCTCCCCGACTCTGAAGTAGGCAAGATTTTTGCTGAGGGTCCCCTTCCCTGGTCTCAGGACATCTGCTGCTCCTTTGGGGCTCCTCCAGGGTGGGCTTCGTCCCCTCCCGCCACCCCCTTGTCACACCGTCAGGACAGCCAAGCCACACACACCACAGAACTTGGGGGCTCATGGGGCCCTGCGGTGATAATAGCCCCAAAGGGCTGCAGTCACGTGCTTGGAGTCTCCCACCAGGACCAGGTGCTAAGGGCTCGTCCATCCATCTGTTCTCCCGTCAGTCCACCAGGACCGTGGCTCTGGCTCCCCCAGAGCCTCCTCCCACCCCAGCCCACCTCAAGTGTCAGTGTGAGCACAGGGTAGGGATCAAAAGCACACCCCTAGCGACCAGCACATCACAGCCCCCAGGCCTCCCACGGGGTCCCCTGCACCTGGGGCTATGGAGCACAGGGCAGAAGCCATGCAGGCCCGGGGGCTGCCCCCAGCTCCTGTCCCATTTGACCTGCAGTGGGCTGCAGACACAGGCGGAGGGGTAAGCCGTGCAGGCCAGAGTTCTCTGAGGCACCTTCTGACCTGACCCACGCCTATCCCTGTGTGTAGCCTTGAGGCCTGGGTGGGCGGCATGGGAGGGGCTCATGGGTGACCCTCAGCTCCCCTTCCCACTGCAAAGGGGGTGGGGTTTGCCTTCTTGGGTGAGAGGAGGAGCCATCTGGACACAAGCCGAGCCAAGCCGCAACACTGACAGGGACCCTTAAGTCAACCCCAGCGAGACCCTGAACCCCCACACCTTCAAGAGGGGTTTGTGTGGGAAGGGAAAGGAGCGATAGGACCCTGCTCACAGAGCCCTTTGCTGGCCCACCTGCCTGCCACGTTCACAGAGCCCCACCTCAGGGGTGTTCCCGCAATGGCAGGGCCCCTACCTGCCATCCTCATCCTCCCTTCTCCAAAGCGTGTGCCAGGACCCTGCTCCACGGATGGGCGTCACGTGGTATGGCCGGGATGGCCCTACGGCTACAGCCTCTCAGCCGAGACTTGTGTCTCCAACCGGCAATGGGGACTCAGACCCAGGTTAGACCCTCCCCTGCGCGGTGAACCGGGCCCAGCCATTATGGACTGGGAGGTGCCCCACCACCACCTAGCTCGGCCGACTTCCAGGCCACACGGGGCAGGGGCTGTCATCATCCACTTCAGAAATGGGGAAGCTGAGCCCCAGGGCAGATGGGCCACGCCATTCAGCTAGGGTAGCGGTGGCCGGCACAGTGGTGCTGGAAGCCGCTTCCAGTCCACGGAGCAGGGGCCTCGGTGGTGGCTGCGTGCTGTGCCCACATCTTTATTAAGAACCGGAGTCGAGTTTAGGGGGAGCACTGGGAGGGGGCACTGTGGCCACAACCACAGCTACTTGGGGAAGGGGACAGAGGGACGCACGTGAGGTCTTAATTTCTGGACATCAGAAGGCGACGCAGGAAGGAGACACCGCTGGGTGGCCTGCCAACACAGGGGACAGCACAGCAGACATGCTAACTCCCCGTGCCCTGACACCTCATCCTTCACACTGGAGAGTAGCAGGCCTGGGACCCTTCAGGGGGATGTCTCCACCACGCCCTTCTGTCAAGGATGGCCACCCCAGAGACTGCCACCCATGAGGCCCTCAGGACATGGGCATGGATGCTGGGTGCAAGGAGAGTGGCTGGCTGACGTGGTCCCAGGGGAGTTCTGGCAAGTACCCAGTGGTGCCTGCCGTCCTCACCCCATGGGCATGAGGGACAAGTCCTTGGCCACAGGAGACTGGGACTAGCAGAGGAAAAGTCCAGGGAGAAGTTCAGGCCCTACACGCAAACCGCAAACCAGCTGTCCAGCCAGGAGATGGTCCCAAGGGTCAGGTGACAAGCTAAGGACCACAGCTTTCCCCAGGATCTGGGGGTAGGCATGAGCTCCTCATCCACCCTGTGAGCACTGCCACGTCCACTGGGCAGGACCAGTGAGGGGGAGCCTGGACACCCAACAGAAGGCTAGGCCACATCATGTCACCACTGTGCCCAGCCCAGGGGCTATCCCTCATGGGCCACTCCAGGCCACACCTGCATCACACCGGGTCAGCCCCAGCCCACCGCTGTCTCCTCAGCTGCAGGGTGACATACTGGCAGAAGCACAGGCCATGGTCCATGTGGCCCCTCACGGCCTCACCCTCCCAGGGGGGGAAGTGTGCGTTGGCAAGGCAGCAGGTGAAGTCGCAGGAGAACTGGCACAGGGCCTCGTGGAACACGGCCTCGGCAGCAGGGTGCCCGGGGAAGGCCTCCAGGAAGGCCTGCCGGCAGTCCTCCAGCAACACATACACAAAGTAGAGCTTGTTGAGGGTGTCACAGCCCATCAGCACCGAGTGCTTCACCAGCAGGGTGTTGGCCTCCCCGATGCACAGGGCCAGCTCCCGCATTTTCTGCCTCATAAACCTCCTGAACCAGCACAGAACGACAACTGCCGAAGCCAGGAAGAGAGGGCAGAAGAACACATTGGCGGCCACTACCAGGAACAGGCGCCGGGGATGGAAGTGCTCCATGAGGCCCAAGATTAAAGGGAGGAAAATGGATGCAATGGAGACCAGAATCAGGAAGATGCCCAGTGTCACGCGGCAGCCCATGTACCGGAGGCAGGACCTGGGAGACGAGACCCCATTCACCATGCCTATGGCCCTCCTGTACACCTCAGGGTCATCCAAGACCACCCGCAGTGGGTCAGGGACACTCAGGGTGCTGAAGGTGCCCACTGTCCAGGAGGGCAGGTTGTCCTTGTTGATGCAGTTGAGGGTCAGCAGCATCTTCCCGCTGTAGAGGGAGGCTAGCTGGGCCGGGGCCAGGGTGCAGCGCTGCACTAGATGGTTGGGTGTGCAGAGGGCCCGCACCACCTTGGCGTAGAAGCGGCTGTCGGCTGCCTCCAGGTAGGTCAGGTGGTTGAGCTGCAGCGGGATGCGGCAGGGCCGCAGCAGGATGGGGATGACCGGCTTCCTCTCCATGCAGTGGCGGAAGAGCGAGAGGTTGGCCTCGAGCAGGCACCAACGGCTCTGCACGAAGTCCTGGCTGAGTACCAGCAGCATCTTCTGGCTCTGCTGGATACAGTCTGCCATGTTCTCGATGATGTTCCTCCCCGGCAGGAAGTCCCGCTCGTGGAAGCAGACGCGGAGGCCGGCGTGCTCAGCCTCCAGCCGGCGGATGAGCTCGTGTGTCCAGGTGGCGTCCAGGCTGCTGTAACTCACAAAGAGGTGGAACTTCTCCGTGGCCCTCAGCGGGGGGATGGCCAGGGCAGCACTCTCCTGCAGGGCCCCATCCTCCTCCTCCTGGTGGTGGGCCTCCATGCCTGGGCCTCTGGCTGGAACACCGCCCTCAGAGGGGCCTCCTTCCAGCTCTGTAACGTGGGTGGACATTTGTGTTTGAGGGTGAAGCACAGCTGTGGCTGTTGCCCCTCAGACAGCTCACACGGCTCTCATCACTGTTATGCCACACTGTCCATGCCCTGAGCCTGCTCCCTGTGGGAGAACCCTTGCTTGGAAGCATAGTCTTTCTTTGCAGGTCTGATCAGTTAGGTTAAGGAGGTCATACCAGAGTGGGCGAGGCTTAGTCCCCTCTGGGGGAGGCACCATGTGAAGATGTACCTACAAACCAACAGTGAGGGACCAAGAGAAGCTGGGAGAGTCGAGGCAGGTCTCCCTCCAGCGTGGACAGAGCATGGCCTGCCAAGCCCTGAACCAGACTTCTGGCCTCCACAGCTGTGAGAGTAAATGTCTGTTCCCATAAGCCCCCTACTTCATGGTATTTTATTGCAGCAGCCCCAGGACATGGAGGCAGTTATTGGGGGGGGGGCATCCTTCTGCACCCAGACACGGGAAGTGTGGCGGCAGCACTTCCTAGATGTGTCTCGGCTAGATCTAACTAGGCCGAGAAAATGGAAGTGGGGAGAAAGAGGCAGCAGATTGAGGAAGGTTCACAGAGTGAAAAAGGGAAGAGGTTTGAGGGCAGGAAGTTACAGCTGCTTCCTCGGTGGGAAAGAGGGCTGCTTTGACCCAGAAAGTTCTGGGACCAAGATGGCAAGAGAGCTCTTGAAAACAACCGTGATGGAAACGTTGGGGTGCTGACAGGAGTGCCTTCACTGCGGCCACCACCGGCTCCTGGCTGGGGGGCACTGCAGTGTGGGGCGGTTCTTCAAGGCACTGCTCTGACTCAATGAATGCAGGACATGTAATCCCATTGTTCCCAAAAGTCCTCAGCCCCATAACTAATGAAGAAACAGATCTGTCAGTGATGTTCTGTTTCCTTCCTTTAAAACCTACCAAAGATGAGACTGATGCCTTCACTCCAGGCTGGCGAGAGCAAGGTCAGGGCAGGACGCTCTGAGCTGATGTGCCCTGAACCAGCCCTGGAGCCTGCCCCACACCCTCCCGTGTAGGAAGCTGGACAGTAGTCACTCCAAAGGCGACCAGCCCTCGATGGCAACACAGCCACCGTGGAAGCCGTGGAGGTGTGGATGCCCACACACCTCAGCATGACTAGGGGCAAGGTCTGCCTTGCTTCTTTTCTGTGTGGGGTCCACCCACCTCTGCTGATCCTGCCCCCCACCCCCGATTTAGGGGGGTAGACCAGGATTCACTCCACAGAAACAGCAGCCAAAATGTTCTGGCTGCATGAGGCCTTTCCAGGGAGGTGTAGGGCTCTCAGGACTCTAACCTCCCTGCCTCACTTTCCTCTGCTCCAGACGGGAGCCTGTGAGCACTCTGCTGTGGCAGCGGCAGGCAGCCCAGAAGCAGCCCCTGGGCCAGGTGGGGATTACCAGAAAGTCCCCAGGGAAGGAAGGCGCTTGCAGGGAAAGTCGGTTCATGGCCAGCAGGGGGCTCCCTAGAGCACTGGGCTCCAGTGGAGGTGGGCTTCCTCACTGCAAGGTGGGACTGATGGAGTGCGGCCCCCAGGCAGTGGGGGCAGCCTCAGGGCACAGGGGGTACCTCCAGGAAGGAGGCTCCAACGCACCCCAGCCCCCAGCTGGTCAGAGTGCCCACGGGGAGAACCCCTAGGCTCTCCTGGGCACTGGGAACAGACCTCCACTCATTGCCAGCTGCCTTGAGAGCCCCTACCCCACCCCTGGGCCTGGGCCTGCCCCTCCACTCACCCAGGTCACCCGGGACAGGCCTGTGGAAGAGCGAAGGGGTCCCAGCCGGAAACTTGGTGCACTCCCACCCCCTCCTTGCCATCTGCCTCCAGAGCGCCAGGCGGGCTCTGGCCACAGGGAGCCCTGAAAAGTGCTTCAGCGGGTCAGATGCTGCCCCCTCCCCAGCCCAGAGGGGAGGGCTGGGCCTCCTTCCCCGTTGGCTCTGCCTCCACGGTGGTTTGGGTTTTATCGGGTTTGCGCCTCTGTCAAGGAGCTCTGGTGGCACGGTGGTTAAAGCACTGGGCTGCTGACCAAGAGGTCTGCTGTCTGCACCCACCAGCTGCTCCAGGGGAGGGAGATGAGGCAGGGCTACCCTAAGAGGACGGCTGCGGGGACCCTGTGGGGCCCCTCTACTCTGTGCTCCAGGGGCGCCCTCCGTCTTGGAAACCCTATGGGGCAGCTCTGTTCTATTTCAGCTCTTCGATCACAGCCTGCCTGCCCTTTACATACCGGCACCGCTGGCGGTGTTAGGGACGTCCCTCTCCTCCTGCCACCCCCCAGGCCTGTCCAGGGGCCGGCCCTGCACGTGCGCCGGTCCATCATGGACAGCAGGCCCCCTGAAACTGCCAGCCTACCCCCTCCCCACCCTTCGGGGTCAGTCACCTCCCTTCACTGTGTTCACAGCCGTGGAAAGACAGTAGCCTTACCCGTGGACACATACACACACACACACACACACCCCGGTGCAGGGGACCAGGCGCCCAGTCCCCAGACGGAAAACAGACAGACTCTGCAGGGCCGCGACGGGGCGCTGAGGAGGGAGCGATGCACAGCCCGGATCTGCGTAGGGGTCAGTCCCACGAATGTCCCCATCAGGGGCCCCCAGCCCAGATCCGCGGTAACAAGCACTGCCCCCACCCAGACATAGCAGTGGTGACGGTGCCTGGGGACAGCCTCTGTGCCTTTCAGATGCTTTGAGCTTGGCCAGGGGAGGGGACTCCCCTGTGGCTGGGCTCAGTGAGGTGACCTTGACTTGGGCCCCTGAGGGGGGCCCCCAGGCTCTGCAATACCGGCTCTGTGGCACTTGGGGTGCCCCTCGCCTCCAATGCCCACAACATGGTCTCCACGGGACTGCAGGGACCTGGCAGAGAGCAAAAGTTCCCTGCACCTTTTGCCCCTCGCAGGCCCCCTGGGGCATCTCCAAGCCTGCTCCCAGCTCTGCCCCGAGGTTGGGAAAGCAGCAGTGCAGGTGGGGGGGCTGCAGCATGACCTCGAGCACCCTCACCGAGCAGGCCCTCACCCAGAGCAGGCCCGCGGGCACTTCACCTATGACCTTCCTGCCACTTCACAGCTTATCCAGCCTCAAAGCCCCGCTCCCGGGAGACAGGACCTGTGCAGGAAGAGGAGTGCAGATGAGGGCCTGCCGGGCCAGAAGCCCTCCCAGCAGCAACCCCAGAACCCACTGTTCTGGGGACTTTCCCACCACCACACCCCAGCTCCCACTTCAGTGTCTGGCCTTCTTTGGGCTCCCTCAGGGAACAAGGAGGGGGCCAGCCACAGCTGCAGTTGGCAGGAAACAGCAGGTCCCCACAGAAGGCCTGAGGGGGGCTCTCCTGCCCATGACGTGGCTGTGGCCGGTGTTGAGGACTGTCCCAGCTACGGCACCAGCCCCTCAACCAGAGGCCATCCCATTGCTTGGGGCCCTCCTCCATCCCCCAACACCAGGCCCTCCAGGTCCTCCCATCCCCCGACACCTGGGGGGCTCCTCCTACACACACCCAGACTTCAACCCCCGTCTTCCTCCCACACACACTTGGGACCCCTCAAGTTCTCCTTGTCTCCTGACACCCAGGAACCCCTAGACTCCCCCCCCACACCTGGGACCTCTCAGGTTCTCCCTGTTCCCTGACACACAGGAATCCCCAGAACCCCCCCATACACTCAGGACCCCCAGGCTCCCTATACACATACTCGGGACCCCCCCAGGTTTCCCTTGTCCTCTGACCTCCAGGAACTCCCAGACTCACACACACACATACCCAGGACCCTCCCCTAGGTTCTCCTCATCCCCTGAACCCTAGGACCCCCAGACTGCACACAGACACACCTGGGACTCTCCTCAGGCTCTTCTGACATCCCGGTCCCCAGCCCCCACCGCACCCCCACCGAGCGAGGCCTGACTCGGATCCCGGTTGCAGGAGCCCGACTGCTTCAGCCCTTGCCTCTGGTTGGGGTTTCGCACAGAGACGGCTTCTGGGGGATGAGTAACAACTCGTTCTGTCTGCGGAGCAGCCTGTGTCTCAGGGCCACATCCCACCTGAGAATCGCCATGCCCGACCCTACTGGCCTCACAGCGGACATCAGCTGAGGTGCCCTCTACCGTGGCAGTAGGCTGCCCTAGAGCCTGTGGGACGGAGAGACAACAGAGGGAGGGAGAGGACGGTGACGTAACCGACCTGGAGACAGGCAGGCAGTTGTGCGTCCAAGGCAGCGATAGATGCTGGCAAAGCCCCTAAGAGCACAAGGATTCCCCCCAGGCCTGCCGACAGTCGCAGTGCATTAGGTGCTGCTGCCGCCTGGCCTGAGCTGGCTCTGTGCCCAGAAGACCAGAGGGGTGAGAGCAGGAGAAGGAAGAGGCACTGATGTGCTGAATTCAGGAAGCAGACCAGGGCTGCGCAAGGGGCAACTTCCAGGTGGCCCCCAGCCTGGCAGCAGACCCGGCCCTGGCACTGTGGACGCACTGCCATCCCTTGCTGTGCACCAGGCCGAGGGGCTGACGGGGGCATTTCCTTGTCTTTGCAGCTTCAAGAGGTCGCTGGCTTCTTGCTTCATGGACTCTCCTGCAGCCTGGGCCTGAGTCCTTGACACACGTGTGCACATGCACACACATGCACACATGTGCAGTGAGTGGAGCCTCTGGGGTTAGCCTGGGCAGCCTTGCGGACTGCTCTGCTACACGGCCCCAGAGAACATTCTAGTAGCTTGGAAATGCTTATGGTGCAAATGGAAGTGTGGCTGGGAGCCAGAGCCTGGAAGAGGGCAGGAAATGGCCCCTGCAGGAGCCAGGCAGTGGAGGTGCCTGGGGCTTTTCATATTCACTTGGCACCAAACTGGGGAGGGCCTCCCCCTCTTGCTGAAGGCTAATCTCTCTGCTCTTTCTGCTCCTGTGGACTGGATTCGGAGCTCTGGTGGTGTAGTGCCTAAGGCACTTGACTGCTA